CATCTCTTAATTGTTCAGAGTATATTTGTAATGCATCTTGCTGGAAAATACACTTGAGTGGCAAATTTTCTAAGAATTGCAGATTTGAAAATGGCCTCATCTTGTCTTTTAAAATAATTAGCCCTGGGCTGAAGATCTAATGTTCGAGTCTCTATCTACTAGAGATGTGTGAAACTGCAAGTAACACAAATTGCAATCACAGGTGTCTATTTTCCTCACGCAGCAAGAATTCTCAAGGTACGTGGTTGCTAGCTTTGGCTCAGATGGCAAAATGGTGCTGCAGCTCCAGCCCTCTTGTCTGTGGTAGGCAGAATATTGGTCGTAAAGATGTCCATGTCCTAAGTATTGGAACCTCTTGTTATGCTCATTACATGGCAAAGGAAAATCAAGGTTGATAATCAGCTAAGCTTGAGATGGGGAGATTACCCTGGATTAACCAGGCTGGCCTGACATAATCACGGAAGTCCTTAAAAGTGGAAGAAGGAGACAGAAGAGAGTGAGAGGAACGACAGCAGAAGGATTTAGTTGATGTTGTTGGATTTGAAAATGAGGAAGACCTCAAACTAAGAAATACAGTGGCTTCCAAGAACCGCACTGGGAAAAACGAGGAAATACATCCTCCTTACTGACTCCAAAAGGAACACAGCCCTACCAACACCTGGATTTCACCCTACGGAGGTCCACTTCTGACTTCTAACCTTCGGAACTGTAAGATAATAAGTGTGTGTTGTTTTCAGCCACTAAGTTCTTTTCTAGCATTGATAGAAAACCAATACAATGTTCATGTTTATTTCAAAGCAAGACAGAGGAGAAAGGGCCATGCCAGGGACTTTTTATTATTGCAGGGTATTCTAAGTTTAAATTTAGAATTCCCTGGCCAATTTTCATGTTTTTAATAAAGACAGTGTTTCACCATATTGGCCAGGCTACTGTCAAACTCCTGGTGATCCACTCGCCTCAGCCTCCCAAAGTGCTGGAATTACAAGCATGAGCCATTGTGCCCTGCTTGACTGTTGTATTTTTTCCCCCACTCCCTTTTTATCTCAACCTTTTAATATAGCTTGCACATCCACTTTTAACTAATAAAGTGAACACTTTTCCTTTGAACTCTTACATCTTCATTCCTTTTCTACTTTGCTTCAGATTTTTAAAAAATCTCTCAAGTGTTGTTGCTATTTATTCATTCTTAATGTTGACTGGTTCCACTTTTTTGGTGGTGCTTTAAGTTCTGATGGGATAGATCAGGCATCCCCAAACTTTTTACACAGGGGGCCAGTTCACTGTCCCTCAGACCGTTGGAGGGCCACCACATACTGTGCTCCTCTCACTGACCACCAATGAAAGAGGTGCCCCTTCCTGAAGTGCGGCTGGGGGCCGGATAAATGGCCTCAGGGGGCCGCATGCGGCCCACGGGCTGTAGTTGGGGAACGCCTGGGATAGATTCTCAGAATCCATATGAATGTAGAGAGAGATATATACTGTAAGACAAGAGAATATGAGAACTGGAAAATGTGTCAGCCGCATCCACAAGTAGAAGGCAGATCTTGCAGAAATGCAGGCCACCCTTTCAGTTTAGGAAATGCAAATGTTTCCAGAGAGCACTATCTGGAGGCGAAATCCAGAAAAAGACTTCGTCCTATTGGAAGAGCAGACCAAGGGACCATCTACTCCACGTCATGGATCACCCCGTCTCCTATATGCATACGCACCTGTATCAAAACAATACAGACCAGGAAAGGAGCAGAGGATGGTGTGAAGTGTTGATCAGTTCTGCTCTGCATATGAGGACTGCCCAAGATCTTACTAAAATCTAGAATGTTTTCAAGTTCTGTTGTTTGTATGGGTAACTCCAAATGATTTGTTATTTTTCTTTTGAGATCGTGTCATGGTTATTTCAGAAAAAGGAGACTCCTAGCATTTCCCTTCACTCCACTAACTTCCTGGAAACCATCTGTGAGCATTAAACCTATGCAAAGACAGTGGTCTGGGGGAAAATACCAGCAAGTATCTCCTATGAAAAGGAGATGGAGATCTTTGTTGATTGCAGGGGAAAATGTAGATTACCATGATCATTTTATCTCATTTGTGGTAGAGGCTGCTGGTTTTCTAGCTAATATTCTTTCTTTCTTCCTCTCTTACATCTAACAGCTTTAAATTTATTTTTTACAGAATGTATTTTGCAGGTTTCAAGCAGGTAAGGGTGGTCATGTGACACTGTCATGGACAATACGTAAGAAGTCCCTAAATGGATCTTCCAGAAAGGTTCTTTGAACAGTGCTAACTCAGCTGGATGTAGCGCTTTAATCCTGTTCCCTTCTTTTCCTTGCCTGAAATTTGTGGACATTATAACTGGAACTCTGGCTAAAATGTTGACAATCTGAGAACAAGCCCTCATCCTAAAGTTGAGTCTTATTGACTTGGGACCTTCATAGTATTTCTATGTTATCTAGTTCGTTTAAACCACTGTTGTACAACTTTTCTGTTACATATAGCTGAAGTCAACCCCTAACTGAGAGAAGAGCCATCCTCTTTCTCTTGGAGGCACTAATTCTCTGAATATCTTTTTATTGTTGCATGGTTAAAGTAATATCAAAGTGTAAGACTATGATGGGTAAACTTTAATATCACCATGAAGGGTATCCACTACCCTTAAACCAGTAACATAGGTGAATTCTTGAACACTCTAGAAGTTTCTGAACAGAAAACAATAAAAGCTTTAGTTGTACAAATAGGCATTGGACACTTCCATTGGTAAAACGTTTGGAGACTAGACTCCAGCTTTTAGGAAGTAGAATTGCACTTAGAGGCCACAAACGTCAAGACAGTTCACTGAAGAGCCTGAGTCCTGTGAGGAAATGCATTGAGAGCTATAACTAATGTTTTAGCGATAAAACAAGAATAAGAAATAAGAGATCGGGGGCTCAGGAACAAGAAATAAGAGATCGAGGGCTCAGGAGACTCCTTTATTGCCTTTTACTTATCAGTGGAATTATTTGTAAAGCTCTTTGTTTATGACAACATCAGCTTACATGAGCTGTTCTAAGGGGAAATAAGAAGCAAATTGCACATCCTAGGGGAATGATAGATATTAAAGAGAGAAAAGTCCAAGAAGGAGGCAAAAACTCAGAAAAAAATGTGGCAGAATCAATCTAGGAACCCTCTTATCCCACCTGGAGTTTTCTACTCAGCAGTTCCTTTTGGCTCCAAAATTACATAAATGATGAATTCTGTGAGCCACAAACTTCATTAGGTCCTGCCTATTAGCACAGAACAAGATATATATATATACACACATACATAGATAGATATAGATATAGATATAGATATAGGTATAGATATAGATATAGAGAGTGTCAGTCTCACTCTGTCACCCAGGCTGGAGTACAGTGGCACAATCTTGGCTCACTGCAACCTCCACCTCCTGGGTTCAAGCAATTCTCCCACCTTGGCCTCCTGAGTATCTGGGACTACAGGCACACCTGGCTAATTTTTGTATTGTTTCGTAGAGATGGGGTTTCACCATGTTGGCCAGGCTGGTCTCAAACTCCTGACCTCAAGTGATCCTCTAGCCTTGGCCTCCCAAAGTGCTAATATTACAAACATGAGCTACCGTGACCAGCCACACAGCAAAAATGTAAATATTATTTTTTATTGATTCATTCTATGACACTTCTAAGCAAGAGTGTGCCAGGCACCGAACAAATTACAGCAAAAATGTATGTTCAACTTTAAAAAGGAATTCATTACTTTGGTTTTTAATAGCTGCAGGTTGCAGCATACTTTAACAAGGTATTCTATGCTATCGACCTACCATTAAAACTTGGTTTGATAAGACATAGGTAATTATGATGCAAAGCTGACTAATCCCAAATTTAAACCTCTTTGCCTGCTGAGTACAACGACACTTCCTACGAAAACTAAATGCCTCTCAAATTTTATTAACAAGACGAATACAACTAATTACATAAGCCTTGAGCAGCAAAAACGTCATTTCATATTATAGTCACCTAATATGAGATAATATCAGGCAATAAAAAAAGAATGCAGATATTTTAACTGTATGTCAATACGGGAGATGTTGCAAATTACTACAGGAATTTCTGGGTTTTATAAAGTAACAAATGTGGTTTGATTTTGTCGATATTTTTATTTTAACATATTTAGTTACGTGCCTTATTTTTTTTTTAAGTTTTCAGTATAACCATAGATGTCTAGCGATCAGGCATGTTAATTCATTAGTTATGTAATTCCGCAAATAATGCAAATTTCTTCGCAGAAGTCTGAAAACCTTGGAGATAACTAATCAGAAAATGAAGGAAGCCCTCCGCCAGAGTCCAGGGCAAAGGGAAGAGACAAGATAAAGCAGACCCGCCAGTACAGGTGGAATTATTAATGACGTCCAAATGCAGAATCATTCAACATTATCAGGCTTACTTATTGACACCTGATATTGAGGGAACAACCCCCTCGCCAAGTGAGAACTTGTTACAGTAGCCTTTATCTATCACTCATTCGCTCAATCCATTAAAGTCTGTTTGGCTCTTCCAGGTGACTCTTAATGAGTTTCATTGTTTTGTTTATTGTGTTTGTTGGCTCACAGATCTCTTTCACAATTTTCTTCGGCTTCTGAATGCTCTTTAAGTACCAGTTTTGATCAGCCCATTTGCAGCTAGTGCTTTAGTAAACAGGTCCTTGAATAAATGGAAGAAGTGGGAAAGCAAGATGGGACAGGGCGATACGGGGAGAAAAGGGGCCAAAGGGAATGGCCCGGGCTGCCTGTGTTCCCCGGAAAAGCCAGCAGGTGGTAGCAACAGTTCGTGAGAAGGCCCCAGCCCATCTCCGTAGGACCCAAACAATAGACCCCAAACCCCGTCCTCGGCTAGAGAAGGGGTTACGAGTGGGCGGAAACATTTTTCCTCGTGGCGCCCCCCTCGGTTCCTCAACCCTGCCTCCAGGCGCCAGCTGAGAGGACCTTGCACCGCCCGTCCTCACCGCAGGGAGGTTCTCTCCCCAGCGCGGGCGAGGGAGGAGGCACGCAGAGGTGCGGCGACTTGCCCAGCCTCGTCAGCGCCGGGCGCGCAGCAGACTTCCCCTTTTCAACCCGACTGCCCTGCCCCTTGGGGAGGGTGGATGGAGACAGGTTCGACTCAGAAGCCTCAACGTTGACTACGATCCAGACACGAAAAGAGAGAAGAGTTCCAGGCTAGCACGGCGTCGCGTTCTTACCCAAACGCCCCCCTCTCCCGCTGCCTCGGCTCCCCCCGCCACCGCCCGTGCTCGCCCAGATTTCTCAGTTTGTCTTTCCCTCCACCCCCTGCTTTTCCTTCCTTCTCCCTTGCTCAGCTCACGCCCACCTTAGTTCAAAGCTGAGTAGAAGCGCCACTGTTTTAGTTCCTAGAGTTAAAGCCGAAGAGGAGGGAGGCGCGAGGGGGTGTGCGCGGGGCTCTGCCCAGCCCAGGACTGCCGCGGTCCGCCAGTTGCGCTTCGCTCCACGGGTGTCCGACCCGGGCCCGAGCCCGAGCCCGGGGGCTTTAGAGACGCCGCTTCACTTCCCGCCTCCTGCAGGCGCCCCACGCGTGCGATCCTCACGGCCCAGACCCGCCGGAGGAGGAGGCCCCCTCCCCGGCGCACAGGCGGGGCCCCGGGCGCGCCCCGCGTCTCCCCCGCGCGCCGGGGCGGAGGAGCGGGCGCCGCACACTGGTCGCCTAGGCCGGGAGGGCGGGCTCGGCTCCCCGGAAGAGGGGAGTGGGAAGGAGGCCGAGGGGGTTGGAGGGGCGGGTCGGGCTGGGAGGGGACGCGGAGGGGGCGGGCCGGCCTGCGCTCGCTCCAGCCGCGGCTCTAGAGCAGCGGGCGGCGGGACCCGGGACCCAGCTTTGCGACGGCGATCGCGACGCGGGCCGCCAGGACCTCCCGGCGCCCCACCTCTGGAGCAGCCCCTGCTGCCAGCTCCAGGTCAGCCCCGGAATCCCAGGGACTCGCGGCGCCGAACGGACCCGGGCCGGGGGTAGCGGGGTCCCCGGACTGAAGAAGACGCGGGTGGCACCTTGCGAGCTCCGGGGCTCCACTGCGAGGCCTCGGGGGCGCAGACCTGCAGAGACTGCGGCCAACGGGAAGGTGAGCCCGGGAAATTCGCAGGCGGCAATGTGGGGGTCGGGGGCAGTATGCTTGGGGACAGGGGAATTAAGGTTTGCAAGGGTAAAGGGGCTCCCCAGCCCCTAGGAGGCTTTCTGGGGGAGGACTGAGGATCCTTCCCCAAGGCCAGAATGGGGTTCATAAAGGATGAGGAACGGGTCAACCTGGCTACCCTTCACCGCGGGTCTCGCTCCACTCTTATCAGGCATCACTGACACCCCAACACTCGCTGTTTGGATCCCCCAGTTGCATTCCCGGAGACCCTCCTCTGGCTCTGGCTTGGGAGTCCTGTCCTGGGAGGGTCCTCGCAGAGTCTGAGCTCCCAGCTTGGAACAGGATTGCCACCCCTCAGACTCCAGTGGCAACACTCCAATCCCCTTGGAGCTGGGAGGAGCCATGAGTCTGACCACACACCTGTCCCCAGCTCCTGACAAGGCACTCTGCCCACCCCAGCCCCATGACCACAGTTTATCACTGGATGTGGAAGGAAGGCTTGGTGCCTGCTGCCCAGCCATCACCTCCAACGTGCAACCAAAGTCTACTGCGTGCTCCTGTCCCAGCTCCATCCCTCGCCCTGCTCCCTCCATCTGGGTGCTTGGCCCTGCTTGCCCCACACCCCCACCCACCGATCTTGGCCGTCTGGCACCCTCTCTCCTCCCATCCCTGGGGGAGCTGGCATGGACTCAGCATAGAATGTTGTAATATCCCTGGCAGTGGCCATGGAGCGGAGCGGCTGGGCCTGTTCCCAATCAGTTAACCCAGGCTCTCCACCCTCCAGGGGAACTTGACTCAGGCTCTAGGAGGGGAGATGCTGGTCCTGAGCTGAGAAGCCGGTGGGAGGGAACTGTGCGGGTGTCTTAGTGGACCACAGAAGCTGCCCAAGTTATGGAGCATTGGAGAACTGAGGCTTCTGAGTGCTGCTCAGGGGGCATTTGGCTTTTTCAGGGCAATGGGCCTTTTTTCTCAAAGAAAGATGAGGATGGGGGTGCCTATGTACTTACCTGGTGGCCTTAGGAGGACTTGTTTGGAGCCTATTGCTCCATTCAGGATGCAAGAAGATGGCTGGCAGTGACGCTGAGTTACCAGAATGCTGGGGAGCAACAGGCTGCGGTGGGCTGAGCATGGTAAAGGCAGGATCCTCCTTCTGGGACAGCTGTTCTCCCAGCCATCACCCTGTCCTGAGCCTGGGCCCTAGACGCTGAGTTCCCGCCCCACTCCCCACTCCAGGTGGGAGGAGGACGGCAGATTCTGGAGGGTTTGGGAAGCCTCAGGTTTCCCTTTCTTTCCCTCTCTGCCTGGCTCCCTCCCCCAGCCCAGGTGTTTCTGCAGAAGAACCTCCTGGGGCCAAGAGCGACTCACAGCCAGACTGGGGAGAGAGCAGGGGCCAAGAGTGAGAAAGAAGGGCCCGTGGGACCACTCCGGACCCAGCACTGATGCACATCTTCTGCCACAGGAAAGCACCCCCTTCGACACAGGCAGCATCTACTCCCGCCCACCTCCCCTCCTCCACATTCCCTTACACACTTTGCTAGGTAGACACATCCTCAGGCACTGCTGACGCGGGTGCTACTCCTGGCACTCAGGGGCCTTCTTCCACAACCTTCCACTTACTCATCTCTCAGGCACATTTGCCTCCTGCCCCTACACCCTCCCTTATGCTCTTTTCCAGAGCCACACATGTCCCCCATCAGTGCAGAGAGTGGCTCATTCTAAGTGGCTGTCTGGCTAGACCTAGACACTGCCTGCATCTGAAAAGCCTCCCCCAGCTCCACAGCCTGGGAGTGGGAGGCACATTTGTCTGAGTCACAGTGCTCTGGGGGACATTATCAGGGACTGGAGGCCTCCGGGGACACAGGACTGTCCTCTGCTAGGTAATCTACACATTGGCTTCTCCAGCCAGGGCAGCAGGGGATAGAAGAGCCGGAGGACAGCCACCTCTTCACTGTCTGTCCTGGATGCCTCCATAAAGCCTGATGATGGGATCCTTCTCAAGGCAGGAGGCCAGATCACGAAGAGATCTCCAAGGTGGAGATTAAAGGATAGAGGGTGCAGCATTAAGCTGAGCAAGGATTATGCTGGAATTTCCTGGGCATTTAACAGCTGTGGAACAGGATGGTGGGCAGGGCCTGTGGTGCTGACCCCTCCCGCATTGACCTGGTGGCTCACAGGTGTAAGGACCAGCCCAGCAACCACACCAGACATAAAATCTCAAGCCCTCTTGCCCTTGGGACTGTCCTGTCCCTGCTGGACTCTGCAGCCTGCTTTGTCTCACGAAACTGTTCCTGTCTGGGCTCACTTTGGGACCATGCCCCTTACTATGTGTTCCCAGTGGACAGTCCCCTGGGTTCCCCTCTGTCCCTTCATCGTCTCAGCCCTTTGCTTGACATCACTGAAGAGAAGCATGCATGATACCAGCAGCAGGACAGTAGGAACTTCTTGGGAGGGAAGCTTGAAGTCTAGCCAGGCATAAAAATTATTTTGCTTTTCTTGTTGGCACGATGTCAGTCATTCATTCTCAGCCTCTACTGTATCTCCATCTCTACCTTCTTCTTACAGAGGAACATTTCTGGATATTTTGAAACCTAGAAGGGAAAGGGTGTGGAGAGTGAATAAAATGTAGACATATGCTCATTTGTCTAGGTTTGACAAATATTTTCCTTTTTTGTTTAGATTTTAATTATGAGATCGTATGTTAATTATAAAAATAAGGTACGCTTACTGTAACAAGAAAAATAATTGAATTATATATGACAAAATTAATGCCCCACCTACAATCCTTCATTTCTACCTCCCACAGTAACCCATTTTAATGACCTAATATGTCTTCTGCCTACCTTCCTCTAAGTTTATTTGGATTACATTACTTAATCTTTAAAAATTCACTTTGTGGATTGAGGTGCATAAACTATATTAAGTAAGCTTGATTTGCTCATGAAAGTATCATATTTAGCATTTAATTGGAGCACGGTTAATTTTTTAAATTCTTACCGATTTACCAATTTAATTTACTTTTAAATCTTTCCTTTTTATAGTAACATAACTCATAAGCTATGCTTTGTAATCAAAGCTCCTACAAACCTTAAATTTTGGCCAGTTTCTGAAAGCAAAACACAACGTTGATACCTAAGAAACTGTCTTATTTTTGTAAACCAAAGAGATGTAGCAGACTTGCGGACCCCTCATCCCTACTGTATCAAAAAGATGTGAAATGATATATCTACAACAGAAGCTGAGAAAATACGATAAAGTCATAGACTGCAATTTTTGTTACCTGAAACTTTGTCTAATCAGTCTCATTTTCTCCACCATTATTTTATATTCACATTTCTGCTGCTTCTGGTTTTGTATTTTTAAAACCTTGTACACATCTGAAATGTGAATGTTTTTCTAAAGGAGAGAAGTTCTTTCCCACATCCTTGTGTTAGAGAATGTCTAAATACTGACCAGTTCCTTTCATGAGTTGAAGGAGAGAGGAATCTCAAGCAGGTCGTGAGAGAAGAGCAAGGGGCCTGGCCTTGCAGAGACTGTTTCCCGTCTCTGTGGCAGGAGAGATGTACTGGCCTGTGCCTGAGATGCTCCTGGACCCAATGCAGAAGGTGCTCCATGCCCATAACCATTGAAGACACCTTTAAAAAATCAGGTTCTGAGTCCTGCTGGCTTAGTATTCCAGGCATGTGGAGCAGTGTGTTCTTGTCACTTATGTTTCTGCCTTTGAAATTGGCTTCAAAAGAATCTGCAGTGCGATGAATTTGCTGACGGCAATTTATTCCATATCTTAATAAAGTTTTCCTTTTCTTTATTTGGATTCCTGCAACAGGGATACACCCATTTTTTTTTTTATGTATTAAAAACATAAAAGTCTTGAATTCATCTGGTTTGTTTGATAAGCAAGAACTCACCTAACTTCCTTGTCTGACTCAGCAACATTTTTTTTTTTTTCTGAAAAGATTTGTTTATAATCTTCAATCTTCTGGAGCTGAATATAAAAGAGTCCTCATGAAATATTAGAAGTATCCTTCTGGGTACTTTTAAAATCCTCAACCATTTCTTTTTAATGAATATCTTTGTTCTTAGTAAAATTGCGAAAAATTGTTAAGTGGCCATCCACAGGCAGTCTCCATTTTCTTCTTTTCTTTATGCTGCTTCTTGATGGCAGAAGCTGAGTGGCCTTAACATGCACGTTTCATAATTGCTTTTGCTCTTTTCTGGATCTTCTGGAGGGAAGCCAGCTTCATGTTGTCATTACGAGGCATGCTAAACCTACGCGAGCACGCCCTATTGCAGCCACAAGTGACTGTGTTCCTTGTCGTTCGGGTCATCAAAGCAGATATCTTGCTATTCATCTTCCAGAGTGTTCCACATTGGACAGCTGATATTATCTGCAGTGCATCTTCTCTATCTTGCTCATCTGTCTTTCAAAATAATTCGTTGAAATATTTCCAAAATATTTATTATTCCTTCTCCATGATTATTTGTCTAGTTGTAAGCTTGGGAAGACACAGGGCTTATTGTTTCTTCTTTGTACAGATTACGGAATCCATCTATGTTCAGACTGAAAGAGATTATTTTAAAGAGTAACTTCTGGGCGAATGGTAAAATAGCCTTCATTGTTTAAAAACTTGCTGCCGGCATTTTCTGTCCCTGATAACAGTGTTTCTAAGGACTCTGTGACTCTGGTTTGCTTCAGTGTGTCAAGCACGTCACCAAATTAAGCAATTGAGAGTTTGAGGGGGTGCACTTACAACGTGAATTACTTCAGGATATTTATTAAACAGCCATTGGTGATGGTGCCAGGGTTACAGAATTTGATAGCTATGCGTACTTTTTACTGCGTGATCTCCCCATTCTTCTGCAAAGCATTTATTTCATCTGTGAAGCATCCTAGTAGCATTTCAGACAGTACCTGCAAAGAACATTACTTAAGAACAATTTGCCATATGGAAATGCTCCTTATTTGTCTTCAAAGGCTGTAAACCGAACTCTCTGTTTCACAAATAGGGTTAAAGATGTATAAAAGGTGAGTTTCAAGGGCAAGTAGGCAGGTATCCACTCCGCATCAGCCCACACGTATGTAAAAACGGTGTCTCTCCATGGTAAGTTCATGGAGAGCACAGCCAGAAAAACAATCAATAGGAATCAAATTATGATTTTCATGTTTGTCACAGTTAAATAAAGTTTCATAGTTTGTTTTTAGTTTTATCATAGTTTTCAACAATCACAAGGCCATATAGATCCAGGAAAAACAATTCACAACTTCTCTTCTAATTGGCTTTTTTTTTTTTTCCTTTCACTTCTGTGTCTTTTTAGCAATCCGGACAACATGCGTCTTTTTCTTCTCCACAGAAATAAAGAGATTGTACTGCTCTAGTCCACCCGATTCATGGACTTCTGAGATTCAGTCAGAGGAGAGACAGAGAACCACCAGTCTCTAGATCGAGATGCAAACGTGGTGACAAGCCTGTTTGTCTTCATTGTGACACTGGAGGTAGCTCTTCCCTCTGTTCTTTTGCTCATCAGTTCAGTGGCGTGCCGTCTGAAGGCACAGGAAGGTTTTACATAAGAGGTGGCTTACTGCATAGTTCTGAGACGTCGTTATGAGGGTGTGAGCACTATTTTGATTAACTTTACTAAACAGTTATTGTCCTATAGTTTTAAAAAAAAAATTTAATGATTTCGTTGAAAAAAATAATACATATGCAAGAGTTAAAACGGATACAATTAAAGAGACTGCCACAAAATTAAGTCTCCCTTGACTGGCTCTCAGTCTACTTCTTTTGCCTTTTTTCACAGATTTTGGATGTTCTTCCATCGATCCTTCCATGTATATGTATGTGTACATGTCCTTAACAAATGGGAGCGACTTCACACTGTTCTCCACTGTCCCACTTTCACTTGGAACTGATTTTCATATCAGTCTATAAACAGTTGTCCATATTTCTTTCTACGAATATTTCATAATTTTTAACCATCTTGCAATTGATAGACACTTAGTTTACAGCCTTTTCTCTTATAAACAATTTGCAATTAATGTCTTCGTTCAAGCATCTGTGCAAACCAATACAAATACACAGTACCTGAAGGACAAATTCTTACAATGTAGCTGCTGGAAAGATAGTACCCAATTGTCCTCCCAAGAGAATATTCCAATTTGAACTCAAGCAGAGTATGTACAAGAGAAACTATTTCCCATGCCTTCTCCAACATGGTAAAGATGCTGTCTTAGGCATCTGTGGCTGCCGTAACAAAATGCAATAGACCAAGTAGCTTATGCACAGTAGAAATATCTTTCTCACAGTCTGGATACTGGAAAGTCCAGGATCAGGGTGGTGGCATGGTCAGTTCCTGGCAAAAGCTCTCTTCTAGGTTTCAGACTGACCTCTTCTTTTCTTCTTCTTCTTTTTTTTTTTTTTTTTTTGAGACAGAGTTTCGCTCTTGTTACCGAGGCTGGAGTGCAGTGGTGCCATGATCTCTGCTCACCGCAACCTCCACCTCCTGGCTTCAAGTGATTCTCCTGCCTCAGCCTCCAGAGTAGCTGGGACTACAGGCACGCGCCACCATGCCCAGCTAATTTTTTGCATTTTTAGTAGAGACAGGGTTTCACCATGTTAGCCAGGATAGTCTTGATCTCCTGACCTCGTGATCCACCCACCTCATACTCCCAAAGTGCTGGGATTACAGGCATAAGCCACTGCACCCAGCCTGCCTTCTTTATTGTGTCCTCAAATGGCAGAAAAAGGGTGAGAAAGCCCTTTGGGGTCTCTTTCATCTGGGCACTACTCTCATAATTAGTGAGGACTCCACCCTCATGACCTAATTACCTCCCAAAGGCCCCATCTTCTAATACCATCCCCTTGGGAGTTCGGATTTCAACATATGAATTGGGGTGGGGGGCACAAATATTTTTTCTATAACAAATGTCCTGTTGCTATGGATTTAACATGGTTTCCTTTAAATGTGAGCACACAAGAAGCATCTTTTCACATGCTAAAGCCATAGGGTTATTCCTCTGTAAGCTATACGAAAACATGTGCCCCTTGGGGCATGAGGATCTTTGTTGACAAAAGTGTTTGCCAGACCTCCATAGCTCTCCCCGTCCCTGTACTGTCTCATTTATCAGCCTGAATCTTTATGCCTGTGTTCTTTCTGCATTTATTCTGGTCCCTTCCCTCCCATCATACCCCACAGCCATCTTCCTGGGTCCCTCCCGCTTCACTGCTTCACTGCCTCTGTGAAATTTCTAGAGCATCCAGGTCCGTCGGGGGTGGGGCGGTGTTGTGAGAATTCAATTCATGCCTCCGTAGGATGGAGCCGCTTCTTAACCAGCTGCCTTTAATGAGAATCTTCTAACTTCCAGTACAGGGAGGCTGTTGGAGGAAGGAAGGCACGTAAATGAAGAGAAAGAACTGGAATAACTCCTTCCGGGAAAAAAAAAAAAAAGGGTAAGATTGACCCAGAACCATCCTGTGCTCCATTTCTAGGAGGGAGAGCGGTGAGGAATGAACACAGAGACAGGGTCAAGACAGTCGAATTTGCACAGGCTCGGGAGAGGCAGTACAGTATGCAACCTGGCTCCTGTCCCATGGTGGGTGCTGGGGCGATTTGAGAGCTGAAAAGGAGACACAGACACACACGGGGTCAGCTTTTGGAGCTGGGGCTGTACGTGAAGAAACACTTCCCTCCCACCTGTCTCTTCTGGTCCTCTGTGTCTCCTCAGGAAGCAAGCTTAGCTGTACACCGAGTCTTGCAAAAGCTGCAGCCCCACCCAGGAGCAGGGTGGAGGCTGGGGCGATGGTGGACACCCTGAAGATGCCCCATGGCTACTGAAGGGGCTGCCCAGTTAGGGAACAGAGTGGCGGGCATGGTGTGTAGCCTATGGGTCCTGCTTCTTCTGGTGTCTTCAGTTCTGGCTCTGGAAGGTAAGAGTGAGTGGAGGCAGAAGAACCCGACCTGCCAATGAGACCCAGTGCAAGGGGCAAGTGGGAAAGATTCAGAAAAGGTAGATAAGGGTGAACACATCAATAAAGGGAACGGCATGGTGAGGATAACGAAGACCTACATAGATTTGTCAGAGAAAGGACCCTGACGGACAGCTGTGCTCCTGCTGGCAAAGACATGTGCAGAGGAGTGGGCGGGGGGTGTTATTTTGTTTCCAGTGAAATGGAGTAGGGGCTGGCAGTGCTGGCTGGAGGCTTGGCCACTGTGTGTGCCTCTTATTTCTGGACAGAGGTATTGCTGGACACCACCGGAGAGACATCTGAGATTGGCTGGCTCACCTACCCACCAGGGGGGGTGAGTGCCACTCTAATTCTGAACCTGAATCCCTTGTCCCTGTCCCTCCCTGTTCCCTGGAGAGTGAAATTCATGAAGGAAACCCTTCGTGAGGATTATAGGATAAGACTCCCTCCCTGTAAAGCACCAACAGGTCAAGGCATCCTCTCTGCTTTGTTTGTCATTAATTTTAAGTCTCAGTGGAAGAGATATGTCCCCTTCCCTATACCCTCTACCTCTCCTTGCTTCAGTCCGGAGCCCCTAAAGCTTCTCCTGGCCCTTCCTGCAGTGGGACGAAGTGAGTGTTCTGGACGACCAGCGACGCCTGACTCGGACCTTTGAGGCATGTCATGTGGCAGGGGCCCCTCCAGGCACTGGGCAGGACAATTGGCTGCAGACACACTTCGTGGAGCGTCGGGGCGCCCAGAGGGCCCACATCCGACTCCACTTCTCTGTGCGGGCCTGCTCCAGCCTGGGTGTGAGCGGCGGCACTTGCCGGGAGACGTTCACCCTTTACTACCGCCAGGCAGAGGAGCCCGACAGCCCTGACAGTGTTTCCTCCTGGCACCTCAAACGCTGGACCAAAGTGGACACAATTGCAGCAGACGAGAGCTTCCCCTCCTCCTCCTCCTCTTCCTCCTCCTCTTCTGCATCGTGGGCTGTGGGACCCCACGGCGCTGGGCAGCAGCGGGCCGGGCTGCAGCTGAACGTCAAGGAGCGGAGCTTCGGGCCTCTCACCCAACGCGGCTTCTACGTGGCCTTCCAGGACACCGGGGCCTGCCTGGCCCTGGTCGCTGTCAGGCTTTTCTCCTACACCTGCCCTGCCGTGCTTCGATCCTTTGCCTCCTTTCCAGAGACGCAGGCCAGCGGGGCTGGGGGAGCCTCCCTGGTGGCAGCTCTGGGCACCTGTGTGGCCCATGCGGAACCAGAGGAGGATGGAGTGGGGGGCCAGGCCGGAGGCAGCCCCCCCAGGCTGCACTGCAACGGGGAAGGCAGGTGGATGGTCGCTGTTGGGGGCTGCCGCTGCCAGCCTGGACACCAGCCAGCTCGAGGGGACAAGTCCTGCCAAGGTGAGAACCCTCCTCCTGCGCTGGCCCAACACTCCCACCCACCCCAGCCTTTGGGCTCCTCTTCTGAACACCCCAAAATTCGTTTTATCTGCAAAAGGTCAGGAATAAGTCATCTTAGGAAAGGGTCCCTATTTTCCCTAATTTTCTTCCCTAAAGCATTCAAACTTGCTCTCACCCACCCATCTGAACTTTCTGGAATCTTCTGGAGCCTTTTGCAGCAAGTGCCTTCTCCCAGTCTGAGAAGTGATGGAGACCGGAAGGAGTTTTGCTCCAGGGTTACTGTGGAATGGAGGCCTTTGGTTCCCATTCGCCCTTCAGTTGGGAGGGTCCCTGGCTGGCAGGACCAGGTGACAGGGACTCAGGTAGAGGAAGGCAGTGGATGGTAGCTAAGAAGAATGACAGTGGCAGCAGGCCTCGGCAGAGGGAGCTTATGCAAGAAGCCAGAACACCCACATTGGGCACTGGGCCTGCCTGGAGCCCCCACCGCACCTCACTTTCTGCATCCATGGAAATGCAATTCTGTCCCAGCAAATGGCAGGAGAAATCTCTGCTTGAGGGGAGAGAGGGTGGGGTTCAGTCTTGGAAGAAAAGGAGAAGCAGCTCTGGGAAGGAGCAGGCTGCGAGGGCCCCTGCCTGCTGTGTGTTGGGAGCTCAGGGTGGGTGGACGGAGCACGTGATGCCCCCACTCTTCTCTGCCTTCTCAGCCTGCCCTCGGGGGCTCTATAAGGCTTCTGCTGGGAACACCCCCTGCGCACCGTGCCCTGCCCGCAGCCACGCCCCCAACCCAGCAGCCCCTCTTTGCCCCTGCCTGGAGGGCTTCTACCGGGCCAGTTCTGACCCACCAGAGGCCCCCTGCACTGGTGAGTTCCTCACCCAGCCCTGAGATGGGAAGGAGCCTGGGAGAGGGGCTAGAAGTGGGGGAAGCCAGCAGCGCTGGCGGAACTCTGCATTTGGAGTGACTTGTTTTCCCCTGTTTTCTTGGCTTCCTCCCCTCCGTGTTCTCCAACACTTCTGTCCCTGGCCCATCCTCCCCGGGCCCGCCTCCTGCCTCTCTCGACTCCCCCCACCCCGTGCTCCTCTGTCTCCTTCCCTCTGGGCCACCCACCCTCCCCTGGCTCCTTCCTTCATCACCCCATGATTCCTGCCCTCGTGGCCTTTGGACCACCACTCCCTTCGGCCCCTCAGGTCCTCCATCGGCTCCCCAGGAGCTTTGGTTTGAGGTGCAAGGCTCAGCGCTCATGCTACACTGGCGCCTGCCTCGGGAGCTGGGGGGCCGAGGGGACCTTCTCTTCAACGTCGTGTGCAAGGAGTGCGAAGGCCGCCAGGGGCCTGCCAGCGGCGGTGGGGGCACGTGTCGCCGCTGCAGGGATGAGGTCCACTTCGACCCTCGCCAGAGAGGCCTGACCGAGAGCCGAGTGTTAGTGGGGGGACTCCGAGCACATGTACCCTACATCTTAGAGGTGCAGGCTGTCAATGGGGTGTCTGAGCTCAGCCCGGAGCCTCCCCAGGCTGCGGCCATCAATGTCAGCACCAGCCATGAAGGTGAGCCCTTCTCCCTGGCCTCCAGGGTCCCCTGCCTCCGCTCCTTTGGGCCCTTTCCCTACTCCTGATCTCCAGCCTGGTCCACCCTGCCACCCTCCCCGCAGAGCTGCACCTGCTGTCAGGGACTCGCATTGCCCTAATGATTCCCCCTTTGCACTCCAGTGCCCTCTGCCGTCCCTGTGGTGCGCCAGGTGAGCCGGGCATCCAACAGCATCACGGTGTCCTGGCCGCAGCCTGACCAGACCAATGGCAACATCCTGGACTATCAGCTCCGCTACTATGACCAGGTGCGCAGGAGGAGTCGGGGGTCCACAGCAGGGGTGCAGGAGCTCACAGTCCCCGCAGTGGGGGCCAGAGACCTGCAGCACTGGGAATGTGTCTGAGAGCCCTGCCGACCAGGGAGGGTGGCTGGGGGCCCTGGGGGCAGAAGCAGGAGCACGAGGGGGCCAGGCAGGGAGTGAGTGGCTGTTCCCCCCAGGCAGAAGACGAATCCCACTCCTTCACCCTGACCAGCGAGACCAACACGGCCACCGTGACACAGCTGAGCCCTGGCCACATCTACGGTTTCCAGGTGCGGGCTCGGACTGCTGCCGGCCACGGCCCCTATGGGGGCAAAGTCTATTTCCAGACGCTGCCTCAAGGTGAGCCGGGGTGGTGGGGTGCAGACGGGCAGGTGAAGGCCCAAGGGGGTAGTGAGGAGAGGCCCAGGGACCATCTGGCCTTGAACCCTGGCCCAGTGTTTCCCAACCAGAGGTTCTGTGGGAGAAGAGAGTGCCCATGGCTCAGAGGCTTACCTAGAGGCTACCTGGGGAGGGGACAGTGTATGTGTGTGGTGTCCCTGTGTGTGGATGTGGGAAGGCTGTGGGGATGTGTGGTGTGTGTGTTGTGTGTCCCTGTGTGTGGTTGTGGGAGGGTGTGGGGATGTGTGTGTGTGTGTGTGGATGTGGGACATTGTGGGGATGCGTGTGTGTATTGTGTGTGCCTATGGTGTAGGTGGGTACCTGGCTCACCTGTGACCCTGGTGGCTGGTCCCCCAGGGGAGCTGTCCTCCCAGCTTCCGGAGAGACTCTCCTTGGTGATCGGCTCCATCCTGGGGGCCTTGGCCTTCCTCCTGCTGGCAGCCATCACCGTGCTGGCCGTCGTCTTCCAGCGGTGAGTCCCCACCCCTGCCCAACTCTGCCCAGCACCATTCACTCCACAGCCAAACCTCAAGCCCTGCCAAGTCCAGAGTCCCCTGCAGAAACCCCAGGCCAGTGCACCTCCCATCACGCAGCCCCTGCCCTGGGCCCCGCATGGAGGTGGGCAGGAGGGCGAGGCTGGTGTCCCCCCTCAACAGACTGAAGAGCAGCCTTCGAGGGCGACAAGGGGACAACGAGGGGGTGGAATGGGAGTGTCACGCCTGGTCACCATTTGTCCCGCAGGAAGCGGCGTGGGACTGGCTACATGGAGCAGCTGCAGCAATACAGCAGCCCAGGTGGGGATGAGGAGAGGAAATGCTGGGCTGGGGGAGCGGGAGCGCATGGGCAGGGCACATGTCAGGCAAGGCTGGACCCCCCCTAAGATTTGGGGAGCTCCTTGGCACAATCTTCTGGAGGTAAGTGGGCGTGTCTGGGGTGTGCAGGCAGCGCCGCCTGGCAGCACATGCTCATAACACACTCCACACCTCTCCAGGACTCGGGGTGAAGTATTACATCGACCCCTCCACCTACGAGGACCCCTGCCAGGCCATCCGAGAACTTGCCCGGGAGGTCGATCCTGCTTATATCAAGATTGAGGAGGTCATTGGGACAGGTACAGAAGGGGCAAGGCAGGGATCAGAGTGACGGGGCTCCCTTGTGGCCTCCCCTGGCCAGAGTCGCATCCAAACACGGCAGGACGCTGTGAGCCTCGACCCCCACCCCCAGCCTACACTTATTCTCCCAGGCTCTTTTGGAGAAGTGCGCCGGGGCCGCCTGCAGCCTCGGGGACGGAGGGAGCAGGCTGTGGCCATCCAGGCCCTGTGGGCCGGGGGTGCTGAAAGCCTGCAGATGACCTTCCTGGGCCGGGCCGCCGTGCTGGGTCAGTTCCAGCACCCCAACATCCTGCGGCTGGAGGGTGTGGTCACCAAGAGCCGACCTCTCATGGTGCTGACGGAGTTCATGGAGCTCGGCCCCCTGGACAGCTTCCTCAGGGTCAGTCCAGCCTGGGTAAAGGAGGAGGGTCCGTGGGTCCAGGACAGCTTCCAGGACACAGCGTCCTGCATCTTTGCTTCTGCCCACCACATCTTCCATGGTCTCCATCCTTCCTTCCCGGGCTGTATTCTGGTTCCACGCCCACTCCCCTCTCATGCTGTTGTCTGCCTCTCTTCCCATCACTGACCTCTGCCACCTGCCCCTGTCCCTCAGCAGCGGGAGGGCCAGTTCAGCAGCCTGCAGCTGGTGGCCATGCAGCGCGGAGTGGCCGCTGCCATGCAGTACCTGTCCAGCTTTGCCTTCGTCCACCGCTCACTCTCTGCTCGCAGCGTGCTGGTGAATAGCCACCTGGTGTGCAAGGTGGCCCGTCTTGGCCACAGTCCTCAGGTGAGCGTGCAGCCCTGGGGACACAGCCTGGGGCCTTGTGGCATGCCCCAGCAGGTGCTGGCAGGGGGTTGAGCTGGAATCTGGGGTGGGTACCTCAAGTGGGATGTTATAGTCCGTGAAAGGAGGGAGGCTCTCCTGTGTGATGGGAGGATGAAAACCTAGGCGAGGGGGGTTGAGGGATTTCAGGGACTGAGACAAAGAAAGGGGGCGACGGAGGGGAGGAGACCTCCCACCCTTCCCCCACTGTGGAGGTTACACAGACTCCAGAGTCAGCACAGCTGGGTACACACTCTGAACACTCTGCTCTCCAGCTCTGTGACCTTGGACAACTTCGCATTCTCTAAGCCTCACCTTCTGCTTCTGTGAAATAAAGATAATATCATCCACCTTGGAGGCTTGTTATAAAGATTAAATGAGATGCTTGATGTAAAACTCTTGACATATCTGAGAACATAGTAGTTGCCCAATAAACGTGACTATTCTTTCTGCTTCTGTGAAATGGAGATAATATCATCCACCTTAGAGGGTTGCTATGAGGCTTAGATGAGATGCTTGATGCAAAACCCTTGGCATATCTGAGCACATAGTAGTTGCTCAATAAACGTGACTGTTGCTATGATTATTACTATTTGCTCTTGACTTTACCCCTCAGGGCCCAAGTTGTTTGCTTCGCTGGGCAGCCCCAGAGGTCATCGCACATGGAAAGCATACAACATCCAGTGATGTCTGGAGCTTTGGGATACTCATGTGGGAAGTGATGAGTTACGGAGAACGGCCTTACTGGGATATGAGCGAGCAGGAGGTGAGCACTGGCCTAGACACTGCTGATTTCCCACCCTATCCCTCCCATGCTGGAACATTCTAGGACCTCCAATCTATCTCGACTCCATTTGTATTCTAAGATCTCGTGGCTCTTGGATTTCTATCTTTGAGTTCCTTCTCCACTCCAACTTCATCTTCCACCAGATTCCAGCCCCACCCTCTTACCCAAGAAAGTACTCCCCTCTACGAGCAAAACTTCCCATCGTCATAATCTTCCTCTGACCCCTGCTCCAGGTACTAAATGCAATAGAGCAGGAGTTCCGGCTGCCCCCGCCTCCAGGCTGTCCTCCTGGACTACATCTACTTATGTTGGACACTTGGCAGAAGGACCGTGCCCAGCGGCCTCACTTTGACCAGCTGGTGGCTGCATTTGACAAGATGATCCGCAAGCCAGATACCCTGCAGGCTGGCGGGGACCCAGGGGAAAGGTGTGGAACTTGGGGCTAGAGCCTGGGAAAGCCAGGGAGGGTAGATGCAAACCAAGAGAAAACTGAGGAGAGGGGCTGAGACGAAGAGGAGACCTTGACCCTGCTTGCCCCTCCTCCCCTCTTAGGCCTTCCCAGGCCCTGCTGACCCCTGTGGCCCTGGACTTTCCTTGTCTGGACTCACCCCAGGCCTGGCTTTCAGCCATTGGACTGGAGTGCTACCAGGACAACTTCTCCAAGTTTGGTCTCTGCACCTTCAGTGACGTGGCTCAGCTCAGCCTGGAGTAAGCAGGGAATGGTGGGGTGGGGGCGAATGCTCCGAGCCCCTGGCTGGGGGTCGTGTTGGGGATTTCGGAGAAGCTGGCCCAGATTTGACCCCCTCCCTCCCCACCAGAGACCTGCCCGCCCTGGGCATCACCCTGGCTGGCCACCAGAAGAAGCTGCTGCATCATATCCAGCTCCTTCAGCAGCACCTGAGGCAGCAGGGCTCCGTGGAGGTCTGAGGTCGCTGCCAGGGACTGACGATGCCCGTGACTCACCCCTGGACACTGGTCCGAGAAGGGACCTGTGGGACATGAGTGGGCTCCAACAGCCTCTGTGAGAGATGCCCCACACCAGACCCGCCCCTCCCGATGCTGCATTGCCCGGTCCTCTGCCTCGCCACCAGCCTCCTCCTCATTAAAGGGAAAGAAGGGAATTTGCAAGTTCAGTGTGGTGAGGCCTCAGTCTGCAAGGAAGGGTGAGGGAGACCTCGCGGGAGGAGCAGAGGAGTGGGCAGGCAGGTGGCACCCCACAGATGCAGAAGGGGAGCTGGGCAGGGATCGGAGAACGACTTTATTGAAGGTGGAATTGGCAAGACTTAGCCCCACTCCACCCCAGCCCAGAGCCCATCCTCTCTCTCTCTCACACACACACATACACACTTTCCACAAGCTCTGTGCCTCCCTGCACCTGCCTGGTGCCCTGGGAAGGGTGCTCTTTCTCTCTCTCTCATTCTCTCTCTCTCTCCCCCACCATGACCTTGGGGTGGAGATTGAGTCTGAGCAGGCTGGCCTGTTTTTAAAGTGCTCTGACGTGCAGTGCTACTGTCGGAAGGGGTGAGGAGCCGGCTGCAGGAGAGCTTCTCACGCCTGCCAGTCCTGTGCTTGGGCTGGGCTCCGTCTGCCCCAGGCTGCGAGAGGGATTCTCACGTGCATTCCTTGGCATTGATGCTACTCCCCTTTCTTCCCTGGGGCCTGGGAGATGAGACCTCTGGGTGTTTGGTTTTTGTTTTGTTTGATGCTCCCAGGAAAGTGAGAGCACGTTCCGGGAAGCCCAGCGACAGCACACAGTCAGATCTGGTATTCCCAGCCCTCCCCGTCCTCCAGACCCCTGTTGATTATCCCACGCAGGTCGCTCCTCAGGGTCCCTTGCCGAAGCCTTTCCCAGTTGGCGCTGCTGCGGGAGGTACTTCGAGACACTGAGGGTGTAGGAAGGGGCAGGTGGGGGCTGAAGGGACAGCCCAGCTCCAGTTTTTCCACCGAGTCTTTGTCCGAGTCCTCAGAGCCCCGGGTGTGGAAGGCCCGCGCGTAGCGTTGGATCCGCTGCCGGTTGAGATCCTGCCTGTCTTCCACCCTGTGGGATGCAGGCGGACTTCAGAGACAACCAGGACTTGAAGAGAAGATCCCAGAAGGATGCTTGTGTCTCATCCCCTGGTCTCCCCATCCCCGCCATTGCTGGCCTTTCCCCTTCTCTGGACCCTCGGTGGATGCCTGGGTCCCTGGCCCCTTGGCAGCCAGGCCTCAGGAAGCAGCAGCTCTCCCACAGGCTCCCTAGATGCTTTGAGAAGCCCAGGCTCCAAACGGGGCCCCTTCCTCAGCAGCTCAGTCAACAAGCACACAGCCCAGGGAGCACCCAGGCGTCCTCGGGGACCCCAGGAACAGGATGTTGTCTGAGCAGAGGGACACCCAGCCGATGAGTCTTCTCAGGGGATGCCTACCCCCCACCACCCCATGTCACTCACCGCAGGAACCAGCGGTCCCCCAGGCCATACTCCCGTCCACAGATCCCAGAGCGAGGCCACAGGCAGCGAGGCAGCTTCCGCTCCAGCATCACCGTGGTGGCCACGATCTGCGTATAGGGACAAAGGGGAAGTCAGAGATGAGGCTGGGTGCAGACAGAGGAATGAGAACTGCAGACTGAGAAGGAGGAGAGGATGCGGGCAAAGGGTAACAGTCTAGCAATGGCAAGGAAACGTGCGAGCTCGTGGTTTCCCGGGGGGTGATGAACGATGCCCCTGGATCTGGGAGGTGGTGCTGGCTTTGTTGACCCTCTTCAGTGGGAGAGAGTTGATAGGGCTTGAGGCCAACAATTCTTTACCCAATGACCTGACATCCATGACACAGCCAGGCCAGAGGCAGGAGAAAGGAAGCAGAAGCCCCATTCCCAGGAGCACAGGAACCAGAGAAAGCAAATAGAAAGGGGTCCTCCTAAGGGCTCCTAGATATTTTGACCCTCCAGACATAAAGGTCACTTAGCAATATAAAAATCTCACTTAGAATATCAATATATATTTCTGGAGAAAATATTTTCCTGAGCGGACCTTATTTCCCAGCTTCGTTTTTCCACTCTGTTTTCTACACACCACAGTTAAACGCCTTCCAGTTTGGGAAATTTCCATTTTTATTTTGCTGAATTGATTTTTTTAGATAAATTATTTTCTAGGTGTTTTTTAAATGAGGATTTGATTCATCACATGATCCTCTCCCTATCTTGAAGCTCTGGGCTGAAGATAGCTTCTGCTACTACAGGAAGTTTTTGTGGCATTATTTTTAACACATCCAACTTTCCACATCAATTTTTTGCAGACTTAAAAATTATCAAGAAGACTTGATACTCCAGTTTTCATTTGGGAACCAAATGTACTGAGTGCAGTTTTAGCCACCGTTAGCTTTATTTTCTGTTGATTTATTTCTTGTTGATTCCTCTAGAAAACACTGAGCTTTTAATTGTTGAGAAAACTGTGAGGCATTCTTCTCAGCGGTTCCAGTATTGCCCGGTTGAATTGCTAATCAGTGCTTCTGTGCACTCTGCATGATTTTGCTTGCTTTGCCACAACTGTCCAAATGTAAGTAGGGTCGAGAGATTCCGCCTGTCCCTGAGTTTGGCAGATTCCTTGGTAGGAAGGGGAGGAGGTGCCCTAGCCCTCCCAGCCACCAGGGGGCTCACCTGGGCCCTCCACAGCTCATCCCGCTCGTGGGCCACTCGCCAGTGAGTGTCACCCATCATGGCGATGAGGAGGTTAAGCATGAGCAGCGTAGCGATGATGGCGAAGGCAGCGTAGGTGATGCTGTACATGAAGGGCAGGTCCACGTTGTAGTTGGCGGGACCATCGATGATGGTGAGGAACAGCTCGAAGGTGCTGAACAGGGCCATGGGGTAGTCGTAGAAGTGGCCCAGCTCCTCCGGGTCTTCTGTCTGGAAGATGATATAGAAGGCTGCTCCACCCAAGGGGGGTGAGGGTTACCATGGCAACCGTGCAGGCGACCAGCCCACCCGGGCTCCACGTCTGTGTCCATCCTGGTCCCTTCATCTCAGTATCACCAGCCCTGCAGTGCTCCAGACTTTGGGTTTTTTTAAGTCCCTAGTTTTCTACGAGCCTCATCTTCTTGATCCCAAGAGCTACCTCTCCCTCACACTCCTGATTCTTCTCACCTCCGAAAGACGTCCCATCCTCTGACATTATATGGTCTTCTCTGATCTCTGCATTAATCCTCCTCCCCAAGTTTAGCCCGAGCCAGTGCCCCCTAGATTTTCTCATCTCCTCCCTGCCGTGGCCTCTGATCCTGGACAGATGATTACCTGAAGCAAAGCCCAGGATGACCACAGCCATCAGCCAGCAGAAGCGCATCAGGTCACCAAAAATCATCTAGAGGGAGCAGGAGGCAGAGAACATCTGCATACATTCCCCAAGCAATTGCCCTGTCCAACGTCTAACAGGTCTAATCCCGATAAACCTCACAGCTCCACCCTCTGGGACAGGGATTGGCTAACTATGGCCTGCAGGCCAGATCTACCTGTCCTGTTTTGGTGTGGCCTTTGAACTGAAAAGAGTTTCTCCATATTTAAAGGATTGTTTAAAAAAAAAAAAAAAAGAAGAAGAAAAAAAAAAAACATACAATGAAGCCATGTGTGGCTTGCAGAGCCTGGAATGTCTACTGTTCGGCCCTTGATGGGACTGTCTGCTGACTGCCACTCTGGGGCCTTTCTCTAGGGAGCATGGGGGGAGGACTGACCTTCTGGATCATGATGGTGAAGGGGCCCAGCATCTGAAATCCTCGGGCGAAGTACATGACGTTGCACCAGCCCAGCACCAGGGCAAAGGACATGGGCACCACCTCACCGTTGGCACTGGTGAGCCGCATCACCATGGTCACCAGCACCATGAAGGCATAGGCGATGCTGGGGGAGCAGGGAGACGGGTGATGAGGGGAGGGCTGGGATGATCCTGGGGACCCGACAGCAAGCATGTAGCTGGGAACGTGCCCACACATGCAGACTCAGCCTCCCCACACTCCAGGCACAGGGTCATTCACACAGCACTAGAGAGGGAGCTCTGGAGCTAAAGTTCTCGAGAGGTCAGGAATCCAGGGAGTGCAACTGGAGCCCTGTTGGGGGAAGGGATGGGAGTGAGAGGAAGGAAACTCACATGAGGACATGAAATGGACCCCCAAGGATGGTCTGTCCAAAGAAGCGAGTGACCCCCATTCTGAAGATGTCTGGAATCTAAAGAGAAGTCAGGGAGACACAAAGGCACTCAGAGACCGGAACTCAGGCTGGATTCCTGGGGCAGACAGCCTCGCCCAGATTCCATCCACACCTCACCTCTACCAGCAGGATGATGACAGCCCCAATGACAGTCACCAGCTCCCCCACCAGCCGGATGTCATCCTTAGGGGTCACGTAGGCTTCCTGAGAGGGGAGAAGAATGGTCAAAACACTCAGGGCTTTGAGGCATCTGCCCTGGGTTTCCATGGTGCCCAGGGTCACCAGCCCCAGCAGATTCTTTTTAATCTGTGAGGTGAGGCTCTTCTCAAGCTCTGTTCTCAGAGTAAGAGCCTATGTATGTTTCTGTGGGTATGCATTTGGAGTTTGTACTCATGTATTTGAGACTGGAACGAGAGGAGAAATGGTGTGAGGAAGGGAAGGGACACGGGTCTGAGAAAAAGCAGAGACCCAAGTCCTGCCTTGCTGATCTGCTCCTCCGAGGGTGTCACCTGAAATAACTTCTGCTGTAAGAGGGTGTTGTCCCGGGAGCTCGTGCGGTTATTGGTCCTGGGCTTCAGGGGGCGGTTGACGCAGCACATGGTAAAGCAGATGATGTACAGCAGGTATATGGCACCCAGCACGCAGAAGTACGGCCGCCCGTACCGCTTCCACTTGAGGTTCACCAGCTCCTTCACTGGCGTCTGGTCCAGGATCTGGCGAGCCTGAACGGAAAGAGAACAGGCAGCTCAGAGACCCTGACACCCCTCCCCAGCCACAGCCTGCTGTGACAAGCCCTACCTCCCGCTTCTTGGTGGTGATGATAAGTTCCAGCAGAGACTGCTCATCCCCCGAGGAGTCAATCTCCGTGAGGTCATAGAGGGTCGAGGTCAGTGGCCCATACGTCCACTGGGTGTGCTTCCGCTTCTGCATCAGGTGCTGGAACATCTAAGGGAAAGTGGAGGT